CGGTGGATTAACTGGCACCCTCGTGAACCCGATCCCAGATCAAAATAATGCCAATATCGTTGATTGATTGCCATGGTGCCTATTTCGCCTGGTCCCATCCCGGTATTGTCGCCAGATTATGAGATTACAGGCGTCTTTGTGTAGTATATGTTGTTGCAGTTCGTAAAGCTAGTGTCGACCCCTTTCATCCTCCTCATTTCGAGTTTGACGATTTAGATGCCGGCCTCCTTGTTGGCCTGGTAGACGCCGGCGGCGTTGAAGGGAACGATGTTGCCGTTGGCGTCAGTCATGGCGGCCTCGTTGACGGGGACGCTGTTGGCCTCCTGACGAGCCTCGATAGCTGTGACTCGTTAGCATCAAGTGTTTCCCGGTTCCATCGTTTTCAGTACATACGCTCGGCGGGGGCGGCTGCGACGACGGCAGCGGCGAGGGCAAAGAGAATGGCAGAGTACTTCATTTTGACGGTAGTTGTTGGTTGTTTTCGAACGAGTGTCGGCCGGCGACGAGCAGATAATTCCTGTACAAGAAGAGAAGGTTTGGAAGAGAGTGTTGTTTGTTGGTTAGAGAACAAGATCAGAAGAAACGGAACACGGGAAGGAGATGCGGGTATTTGTATCTTTGTCGAGGACTTGTCGAGGAGAGCCCAACGCCCAGGGGGTTGCGCCAAGTATCACCATCGATATCATACATCAGACATGGTATAGGGAGACGACATGCGCACGGGTGCCGAGCCATCCAGAAGTGCTGTCATCCAAAATCTGACTGGAACTACACAGTCGTTGCCCCGGGCCCTCGAGTTGAGACCAGCGGTCAGGGCTTCCGCCCGGTTCCATCCCTGGTCATCTTCGCCGCAGCCCAATGTCGATTGCTTGGCCATAACATCATTCAGAGGAGAAAGTTGTCAACGGGTCGAGGATGGGGAAACTAGGGACCTCCCAGCGTGTCACCGCACTAACAGGAACCACACCAAGCGATGAACGATGCCCCAGCCCATCCGTTTTTGCCCCGGGCTTCGCCTGCCTCAGGGAGGATACTGAGGAGAGGGTGGCCACTGATCAGCAGCGTCCAAGAGAGCTGATCGCGGTAGACAAGAGAACCGCAGTGGTAGAAAAGGTCTGAAACTGGGCTGTGACGAGGGAGACGCGTAGGAGTGGCCCACTAGTCTAAGTGAATGCCGTGTCACAGAGGCTCGCCTACGGCTCGGACGGGCGTAGATCATACAGCAAGCCGCTCGCTATGAGCATGTTCCGGTAGCAAAGTCGGCAGGGAAGCGGGTTTTAACGTCTGAACCCCAGTGTTGCCAAGTCTGCACCCCGGTGTACCTTATTGTGAAGCTTAGCCAGAGGCTGGGGATGTTGGATTCCTCGCGTGGGATGTGGGAGAGTCCAGAACCGGCCTTTTCCCTGACGGCCTCGACGGCTCAGCTTTGACGGGATGAAGGTGTTCGGACCAGAGGCGTTCCCGCCCAGGAGGCGTTTCGAAACCAGCCAACCCCTGTGGTGTAGATGCCAGGGGCAGTGTGACGCAGGAAAATCATTTGGGCGGCCCGTCGTATTTTTAGTCGGATCGTCAGTCGCTGCTTAAGTAAGGCCCTGTCTGCATTCCTCGGGCACAGCACAAAACTTGTGCATGTGTTATGCTTGATAGCACAGACACATCTTATGCCACCCGTATCCAGCTGCATCAAATCGCGGGGTTCGTTATCGGAAGTGGGGTTCAGCTGGAGTGATCCCAAAGCCCCCTCTCAGCCCAGTGACATGCCGTTCCTCCAGCTACCCGTACCTAACTGTCAATCTACCTACTCTCCCCCATTCCAACCTAAGCTTCTTCTCCAACCTCCAACGTGCCAGACTGCTCATCTCCGCCATCTCACGCTGCTGCTGACCCTGTGCGACCGTTCTGCGGACGCTGTGAAGCTCTCTGTTACTTCTCCCCCAAACAACACGCCACTTCGCCACATCCCTCCCTTTGAAACGAGCTCATGGCGACTGTGGGACACTGCCTGTACTGCTTCGAGGCGCTGGCTTCGCACCTGGAAAAGCGGCGGGGTATTTCCCTCAAAGAGATCCAGCAATCATGGCCCGAGTACGCAAAGACCCTGTCGTCCGGCCTCGGTGACGGCAAGGATGCCTCCAAGAAGCTCCTCCCGGCCCTGCAACGCCTCGCCGAGCCCGCCAGCGACTCAGGCTCCGCCTCCTCCGGCTCCAGCCTTTCGCTGCCGGCCGAGACCCCCGAGACATCCGTCGACTCCCTCGCCGATGCCGACGACGACGACGACGACGACGATGTCATCACCGAGTCCCCGCTCTTCGTCACCTGGAACACCGTCTCACCACGCTCGGGCCATCGCTCGCTGCGGGGATGCATCGGCACCTTTGAGCCGCAGGAGCTCGAGGACGGCCTGTCGAGCTACAGCTTGACGTCGGCGCTGCACGACATGCGATTCCCGCCCGTCGAGATGTCGGAGCTGCCCTCGCTCGAGGTCGCCGTGACCCTACTGACCGACTTTGAGGACGCCGACGACGCCATGGACTGGACGCTCGGTGTACATGGCCTGCGCATCAGCTTCTTCTACCACGGCAAGCGGTACGGCGCGACCTACCTCCCCGACGTCGCCGTGGAGCAGGAGTGGACCAAGGAGGAGACGCTCGTGAGCCTCATGCGCAAGGCTGGCTGGATGGGCCGTAAGGACAAGTGGCAGGAGGTCGAGCTCAAGGTCGTGCGATACCAGGGCAAGAAGGAGTCGCTGGAGTATGCCGAATACAAGAAGTGGTACGACTGGTACAAGAACAACAAGACCAAGTCCGGCTGAGGCCCGGCTGGTCTTTCATGACGGGACATGACGGGCGTTACTGGGACACGGGTACATTTTGGTGGTATACGGATAGGATAGAGGCGTGGTCTCCTTCGGATAGAAGAGGATAGCCTTGTGTTAATACAATTATCATGACTACTCGATTGGAGGAATGTGCGCATACAACTTGGCTCTGCCGTCTTCTTGTTTGGTAGGCTCTTCAAATTGAAAACGCCGCCGCTGCTATGTCTTTGCTAATTATGCACAGAAAGGATTTCGCATCAAATCATCGTCGTGTCGTTAAATTCCATTTCGTCGTATGCCATGTCCTAAGCCACATGCTTCGATAGCTTCCCAATACATGAAGCCTCGACAGATCATCTAATACCTGGTCCTGCTACGACTGGATCGGTATACTGCAGCCGGTGGTCTTGGTGAAGCGCTCGGCCTCCTCTTCTCGTACACGACAGGCTGCGCGTATCGGACCTCTTCGACCTCGTACGAAGGTCGGCGCGAACGAGACGTCTCGTGGTGGTAGCGGTGCTGGCGTCTCCTGTGATGGCGTGCGCCGGGAGACCTGCCGCGGTACTTGCGGTCATACTTGCGGTCGTATTCGTCCGGCTCACCCCACGAGTTTGGCCTTTTCCAGAGGCCGCAGGACTTGAGGATCCACAAGAGGATGAGGAAGCCCGCGATGGAGCCGATGACGATGCCGGCGATGGCGCCGCCGCTGAGGTTGTTGTTTGATGCGCTCTCCGCGGTCGTCTCCGGGGTGGATGTAATGGTGACGACGACCTGGCGGGCGTTAAAGGTTCTCGTCGGGGTTTCTTCCGATGATGCCGCGCGGGGGATGAGGCCGGCGAGGGCGTTGAAAGCTGGTGTTACTGGCGCCATAGTCGTGACTTGACGGCTACGTGAGGCGAGGAAGACGGCCTGTAAGGGAAGCGGGAGAGCAGACGAGAGAGGGACTACGGCACCAGAGACGGGACGGGACGGGAGCAGCAATGGAAATACTACAGCAATGATTAATAAATGACGCCAATCCACGTCTTAAAGGGAGCGTCGAAAAGGAAGAATGGCCTGGTCGAGGGCTCGACTAACACCTCGGCCGAGGGATGGGGCTGGGGACTGCAAGTCATGGCATCGATGTGACAAGCAGGGGTTAGGATGTCAAGAACGGGCCAGTCATGTCGACAACATTGGGTGATATGGCGCCGTGTGAGTGTGGGTGGGAACGCGGAAATGGAAATTTCTTGGACGAATCCCCCTCACGGCAAGGTAGATGTCGGACTCTAGCAGGTCGGTAGCCTTGTCTCTGCGCATCTTTTACGACCTGCATCCCGGCCTTGATGGGATTCAAGCTGCAAGACACGAGGTTTCCGGTTCCACATGTCCTCGGTCGCCGCCTTGATGCTTATATATCGACCGAATCATCTTGCAAGGGAGATGCGTTGCTTTGTGGTGGTGGAAGTGGTGCTTGCTCGCCCCCTCGGCTCTTGACAAAGACGCAAATGCGAGATTTTCCAAGTCTCCCGCTTGTACATCGGCCGAGGACAGAACCCCCACGGCAGACGGGGACCAAGCAGCGGGCTAGCAAAGTTGGCGACGCCGGCTAGAGAGTTATTCGCGATGTGACTCTGTGGGAAGAAGTTGTGGGTGGGGCTGCGAGCTTCCCATCACCTTTACGTCACTGGCTGAGCTGCCCTTCCCAGAGGCGGGTGGTTGGGAAACACCCCCGAAAATGCCGCCAAATGCGCCGTAGTCATTGGCCAATGCTCCGGACGTCGCTGTCCGGCAGTGCTGGATGGAAGCTCGGGCAGAGGCCCCACCCGCACCAAGCTGCCGTCCACCACACCACATCATTCTCTAGTGTAGTGTTCTCGCTGTCAATCCTGATCAAGGATGGCCCTTTTCGACGGTTTTTCGCTGTCTTTCGTACTTTGCCATCTTGCCCTGGGTTGGCCCCGTTCCTGAGGCTAGAACGCATGTCTTTGATCTCGATCTTTGTGGCGGACTGTCAGTTGGGTGAGACAGACACCCGTCCCCCCCTCCACGACGAAGGGCATAATTCAGCTGGGTGGAACAGTTGCATTCGACCGCTGGTCAGCCCGGGCTTGGTTGCAGTGAGCGTTTTGAAATCTGTGAGTATCGGTCGAGGGAATGTGTCAAGACTCTCTTCATTACGACCTCGCTCGAGCATGTCGAGTCATGGCCTCGACGGCGTCTTTAGTGCCGGCCATCCGTTGTCGAGACCGCCATTCGTAGCGGGACCTCCGCCGCCGGCGGAAGGGCACAACCCCGTGGTGTGGAACCCAATCGGCATGTTCATGAATGTCTTTCGGACTCTATTCAGATCCATTGTATCGTTCCAATTGCTCGTCGCCTTATCTTACCCTTCCCCTCCATGTAAAATGCCCTTTGGGATCAGCTGCTAGCTTTTGCATGGCCTCAACATCTGCCGTACCTGGCCCATTCTCCATTAACCCTGCCTCCACCGCCAGCTTTGCATACTTGACGGACTGCTTCGCATGCCCGAGCAGGTTGAAGTTGAGCGCTGCGATGGTATACGCGCCCGCGAGCTTCGACTCCAGCCTCTCCTCCTTGTGCAGCTTCAGAAACCTCTCAATGAGCGCGGTCGTCACCCGGGCGTTGATATCCGAAAGCGACCTATCAATCTCCTGGATATCCATCAACCGCTGGTCGGACGCCGCCGCCTGCTTCTTCGCCAGACTGCACTGCGAGCACCCGCACTCGAATCCCCACGCCAGCTTCGCGCGGTGCTGTCTCTCGGACCGCACGCCCAGCTGGTCGAGGTACGAGATCGTGAGCTCCTCACCCGACTTCACCGGCCGCACGACCGTCGTCTGGTGACGTCCGTCGGCGCCGATGTGGAAGGCGACGTTGGGCCGGCAGTCGTGGTTGTACCGTGACACCTCGGGGTAGTTGCCGTAGTGGTGGCCGTCACCCTGAGCTCCTCCGCCGAGGTCCATCTGGAACGAGTTGGTCTGCATGATGTCGACGACCTTGTGGCCGCCAAAGTGGCCCATCTGGCCGAGAAATGTCTCCCGTGTTGATGCTGGGAGTAGCTGCGCCACGAAGTCGAGGAGAGGGTGCTGTTCTGCCGGCGGTGTCCGTTCGATGAACGCGCGATGGGCGATGAGGACTGGCGTTTTCAGCATGACTGTGTCCCCTCGGGCGAGCGACTTGTTGGCGATCATGCCCAGCCCCTTGCCCTCCACCTCAGTGACGCGAAATGACGGTTTTGAGGCACTCGGATCATCCGCGATCTGGAATTTGGCCTCCATTCCTTTCAACTTTTGCACATTTTCTAGCGTTGAGATGATGACCACCCCTCGTCCGGCCGCAAAGCCCCGGTTGGCGTATAAGCAGAAGTTGCCCGCGCATCCATGCGGTCCGGTCCACTCAACTGGCTCATTTTGCCTCGTGTTATTCCGTAAATTGCGTTCTGACTGATTTTCTGTCTTTGCAACATCCCAGGCTGAACATTCTAAGAGCGACTCTTCCAGGGGCGTCCGGGGGCAGATTCGCGCCCCGCGAAGCTGCGCTTGGGCCTCGGGCGCGGCGGCGGAGCAAAATGCCAAGGCGAGAGATATTATTGCTAACGAGGAAAACATGATGGAAAAGTGATGAATAAAATCTCCATTGATTTTCTCCGGGGAATACAATATTTTTGCTTCAGGTGAAATGAAGTGACGTTAAAGTAGCCGGCCAAAACATGGGATGAAGTTTGCTGGTCTTTCGCACCAAGACAGCTCCACTCGTTTCACCCACGATGCTGAAACTTGAGTGGACGAAAGATCAGCGGAACAAGGGCGGTTGGATGGCTTGTCGTCGTCTCATCTTTTTCTTGGGACGTTGAGTGTCCGTCTTGTCAGGGAAAAGTCAAAACTGACACCTGCATCGCTTTGGTGAACAAAGCCAATATAGAAAGCCTCAGCTGTAGCAGCATGTCAGTAGCATGGCGACATGTTGGACCAGTCTGTCTCGTGACATCTTCGATATCCCATATGGGACGCCCCCCTAAGCCTGCACTGGTGTAATCGTAATCCTCACTGCATGTTTCCGCGATGTCCCCATCATCGTTGACATCTGGGGAGAGGCTGAAAACCTCCACTTCTCAGTAAGCTTTGACTTGACACGACCGACAAGACGTCGCGGCTGCTTTGTCCTGTCCTCTTCAAGCCACACGTCGACGGGCTGCACCTTCTGCCGCATGCAAAGAGACTGCCACGAATCAGTGTTCCTCGTCATCACTGCGTTGTAAAGCTCATTGCGCTCTGTCGAAGTAGCCAGACGCATTTCGGGCTGGTCTAGACCGCCGCCCTGGAACCAAGTAGCCACGACAAAGTCCTGGCCAACGGAATTCCACCCACCGGACCCGCTTTCTAGTATGACAACTCTAAAGTGCACAACTCCATAGAAGTCCCTCAGCCCTTTAGTTAGGAAAGCAGATCTATCAGGGTCCCAGAGTTCCCGAGGTGATGCACTCGTTAATTGCAACTGCGCAGGAACATAGGTACCGACACGGAGAACTTCTCCGAAGAAAGAAATACTTTCATGGCAGTTCTCCAATGCGTATGACTGGCGGGGGTTGAGGTGCTTCCTGATCAACAGACGAGTATGCGGCCTAGGATTGAAACGTGGCAACCGCGAGGACGTCTTGTGTATGTAGGGGCTCGACCTTACCATAGTACCATCTCCCTGGTCTCTGAGCAAGATACATAGGTTTCCACTTTCATCGTCATCACGGAGACGACATCCAAGTTCCATTGACATTTCTTGCCAATCGTACTCAGCTCCGAAAACTTCATTTTCGATCCGGAGGCCCTTGTTTGTCATGGTGTACTTCAGAAATTATTATTACAGGCTATTTGAATGGGAAGGTAGAGGTTTCAGGGAAGAAATGTCGTAAAGACTCATTTCAGGTTGACATACCTCAACTGAAGTTTTTTCCGGTGCTCATTTAAGTGTCTTGGCGTTGGCAAACATACTAGGTGATGTTGCTAAAACGCCAAACAGGAGCTGCGGGGTCTGGTTTGGAACGGTTGATTTCGGATTCGGGTGGCTCCAGGCAAATATTGACGTGTCATGGGTATCTCTGATAATTTCTTCTTGCAATCGCATAAAAGCCCTTGGACCTTCGCCGTAAAGAAGTGGCATGTTAACGCCGAAGATGCCCAGAAGGCAGTAGGCGAGGTCTTCATCCCTAGTAGTTTCCCGGTCCGCTGCCCAAGACATGCGACGAGCGATGGGGATGTCAGAAAGCATATCTTCCACAGCTTCAGTTGTATTGGTCAAAAAGTCTTTATCGATGCCAGTTCTTTCTTCCATCTTGTTGCTGAGATCAGCTCTCGTGCCCAGAAAGTTCCAATTCTTGTCGTAGAACTCGACTTGACGTGGCGCAATAAGTTCCTGTAAGGTCCACCCGCGCGTGAACCAGCGCGAATCTTGGAACTGCAAAGACTCGTCGGCGCCGATATCCGCCAGATACGCGTAGCATGTTGTTGACCTCGCGTACCATTTGAACATGGAATTGATAGCTTCAGTCAGCTCCGTAAAGTTTGTCTTGTCGATACAGCACGTGTCAATCCACGCGTGGGAGTGACCCTGATCAAGAGCTAGACGGCATGCTTGCTTGATTTTCGCCCAGCCTGACTTGCTAGCCATAACCTCGGTATTGCCGACGTCTTGAAAGCTAGCCTCGCCAGATTCCCAAGTATGGGACAATATCGCATACTTTTCGGGAATCGATGACCCATAATACTCCTCAATTTCGAGGCTAGTACAGTTGAGCAGTTTCATGGCATTCGTGTGTATCCAAGAAATATTGATGCGGTGGATTGCTTCAGTTGGCGCGAAGATGCGATGGTTGAGGAAGATAAAAGATGCCCAATGATCTGCTCAGAATGTAGTTCAGCTGTGGTATGCCTAGCTATCTAGGCAGCAAGGCGGCACAGTCTTGCTTGGCCATCTTATTTGCCCGTGCAATGCAGTGTGACGGAAAAGCTTCCGGCAGGCTTAGCGAGGCTTGCCTGCCGTGAGACTGCGTCAACATGCAGGAGCTGGTAAGGCACTATAGACTGCAGTGCGAACTTCAAAAAAGTAGATTGGAAAGGCTGGGCTGTGTAATGAGCTCTAATTGTGAATTCTGAGAGGTTCCTGCTGTCTTAATAATATGTACATGTTCAAGCCGTCTCCACTACTTGAGCTGCGTCCTCCCGAGCCGTTGCCATACCTCACACGCATCGAATCCAGGAAGCAATGTGGCCAGAATGCCATGGTGATAGTGCTTGGCTGCGTCTTACGCTGAGAAGGTAAGGGCTCCGCTTCGAGGCCAAGCGCTGCTGCCGTTCGGCCAAGATTGTAAATGGCTCTGTCGCTTATTGTGCTCAATAAACTCTCCAGTTCTGGCGATTTGGTAACTTGGCTGCCGTGACCGAATGCCGGCGTTCATTTGGGACTCTCAGGATGAGGACTCTTGCGCTTGAGATTCTCCCTCTTTGGACTGTCCACGTGCAGGCTCTCCTTCGGCTTCTCTCTTGCGACCTGCTTCTGACCCTCTTTCTTTGACGCAGGCTTTCTCCCGTAGACCGAATACCCATACCAATACGCATGAACACCCAGATTCTTAACATCCTGCCTTACTTGGGAACCGAATATAATGACCTCCGCAGGCTTCCAACCCATCACACGGGTCAACAACGCCATCGCCATACCCTCGATCCCGGGAAGTAAGGAAGCCTGCACCCAGCTGCCGATTTCCTGTAACCTCGGATCTTCGGGCCATGGCGACGCTGGCATCTTCTGCTTCGTAACCGTTACGTTCTCGAAGCCAACCCGCTGGAGGATGCCCTCAAACTCTGACGTGATGGTGAGGGAACGGCCCATCCGCGCAATGGCCTCGCACAAAAGAGACGACCACTTGTACAGGGCGTGGTCTTCCGTCAAGGTTCCGTCATCGCATGCGACCGGGTAGAGATTGTCGTGGATTTCAAAGTATCCGCCAGGCTCCAAGTTCTCAAAGGCCTGCTTGGCAATCCATTCCCAGTCGTTGAAGCAGCCGATCATGTTGCGGGAAAAGACAAAGTCGAATTTCTCAGGCCACGCCCACTCTTTTTCGAGGTCGTCAATTTCAAACTGGCAATTGGGCGGAACATATTCGGGCTGAATAGGGCTCAGATCTACGCCGATGACTGTGGCGGTAGGGTGTTCATCAGCGTAGTCCAATGCCCAAATGCCCGTTCCAGTTCCAAGGTCGAGCACTCTATTGGCGCCGTTCTTCTTGGGGCACAAGCAGAGCTGCCCATCCCACACGACAGTCCACATGTGGTTCGCAATGTCCAGGCGTTCCTGCTCGAGGTCGTCATTCGGGAGGACGTAGTGACCGTCACTGAAGCGGTGGTAGGTGCGTCCATTTTCCCTGCGGTAGTCCAGGATACTGGCTTTCAGCGATGCGGTGGAAGCTCCATCGTCATCGTCGTCATGTTCGGGTTGGGTGTAGTACGGGATCTCGAACCTGAAGTCGTGGTCGGAGCCCGCTCCGAAGGCAACAGCCTGAGCTTCGGGTTGGGTCTCGAATTGACCGTCAGGCTGAGTCTCACCGTGGGACTCGGGCTGGGTCTCGGGCTGATCCCGGTGTTCTTGGGCCATCGTGTGTCCCGGCCGCAACGTAGTAGTCGAGAGTCCTTAGCCGTGAGCCATCACACGTCGCGACTCCTGAGTCTGAAGGGTCTCTTCTGTTTGTTGCAACTGGATAGTTGTGCTGGGCACATCCCTTCCCAATATTCCCTGTAAGTTGATCCATCTCCATTGGGCGCTCCACTTTATTGTTTGTTCAAATTGGAGTATTTCCATTTTCCTCAGCTTTCCATCCCCGGTCCGGCGACCTTGCCTTTCGGGTCCTAGCGTCGCCGGTCGCGGATCAGGAATAACGTGCCACCGCTCAGACCCGGTCCGGCGCCGACGAGGGCCCACCATGAACGGGAGACGGCGGAGTCCCGATGACGCTGCCGTGGGGTATCATAGAGACGGTGTTAGCTATTCGCTGGAAAACCATCATTTCTCGTCAAATGTGCTCTAGTCAAGTGCTGTCTTGAATCCCAAACGAGCCGCTCATACTTGTCATTGACGCCAACGGCAAACTGCAGGCAAGGGTGCAAGTGCACTTGTGATAAACCCTCCCACCGCTTCAGTCCAGCCATTCGATATGTATAATCGCCCGGACACGTGAAAACACCGAAGACCGCGTCGGAATATGAATATCGCGAAGGAACCATTCCCACCGGCACATTGTCTCAGCATTGAGTGGATATCTCATCTCAGTCAGCACACGCGTCCGGCCACGTGTTCACGCACGAAGGAGATAAGATGTGATCTGGCGGAAAAATGGATTCGGCGAGGTGAAACAGGGAGTTGAAAACACGCAGATGAAATTGTGGATTAGGGTGCTGAATTAGACTTTTGCATACTGAGTCAAGCCGCTGAGGCTGGTTGGTGCATGTTGGCGCCGGCATCGACGGGGGAGCGATTGCGATTGCGATAATCCGGCGTGATATGAGTTTGGTCGAGAGTTGAGGCCGATTGAAGCACAATGATAAAAAAAATCTCAACATCAATGTCGTTTCGTTTGATCAAGGGTCCACGGGCGGGGAGATCCAAGATCCACGTCTCCAAAAGGTACAGCCAATGGCCCAGTTGGTCTAGCTGGTCCAGTTGGTCCAGTGTCCAAGCTCTCAGGTGGCCCGGTGGAGCATCAGCCTCAATGGCGCCACAGGAGCTCACCAGGACTACTCCCTTGGCCCGTGCACGAGGATGGGGCGGTGCAATTCCCAGGCTGCGAGAAATTCCATTCAGCGAGCGAAGGGGCCAAAACTTACCCAAGCAGGCCTTCGGGGAGATACCTAACGGAATACCTGACGAGCAAAGGGCACACGACAGCTGAGCGTCAATCCTTTACGACAATCTGCTCATCCAACACTTCGTCCCCATCGGCAGGACTGGACCATCGTCTGCGGCACTGGAAAGCCACTCGAACCGCCCCCTTGGCCTGCTCTGCACACCGGGTCCCCCAAAGCACACCTAAACCATTTCAGCGCACCTCCCAGCTGCCACCAGCTCCCTCGCCCGATCGCCGAGATAGGGAGAAGGACGAGCAAAAAACGGCGCCTCGACATCACGACCGAGCGTCACCAGCCTTACCACGCGGAGCAGACTCCCAACACCCGCCGGGCTCTATCCCATCACTTTTTCATCAGGTGCTCATTCGCGCGCTGTCAACTAGTCCCAAGCGGTTCACCTGCGACGACCGGTTGACCTAGCCTCCCCGTTTCTGGTCAATTCCCTAGCCAGCCTTACCCTTTTTTGCCTCCATTGACGACAACCCCACGATACCCCTCTAACCTTTCGAATATAATGTCATCCGCAGCAGGAGGCTTGACTCGACGCCGCGGCGGCGGCGGAGGCGGCGCAGCTGCCGAGGGCGGCGAGACCAGCAACGGCGCCAGCCGGACCAACTCGACGAGCAACTTCAAGGACAGCGCCCCCGAGACGAGCTACGAGAGCGGCGAGAATGGCCACAAGATTGCCTTTGACCCCCGCGATATCAGCGAGAGCGCCGAGCGCAGCAAACAGCCCAAGCTGACTCTGATGGAGGAGGTCCTGCTGCTTGGGCTGAAGGACAAGCAGGTTCGTCGGCAACAAGCTCTGGCATCACGACCCAATCGAATCCTCGTCGCTAATTAAGTTTTTTCCCACTCTGCAGGGTTACCTATCATTCTGGAACGACAACATCTCATATGCCCTGCGAGGATGCATCGTCATCGAGCTCGCGTTCCGTGGTCGCATCAGCATGCAGAAGGATGCCTCGAGAAGGCGCTTCCCGCTGGCTGACCGCGTCATCGAAGTTATCGACGAAACCCTGACCGGCGAGGTGTTGCTCGATGAGGCATTGAAGATGATGAAGCAGAGCGAGAAGATGAGCGTGAGCTCCTGGATCGACCTCATGAGCGGTAATGCCCCCTTTCCTCCCTGGGAACAAGCACCACGCTGCCCACTCGGCCACAGAACCAGGAGCTGACGATGACGCCCACAACAGGAGAGACCTGGAACCTGATGAAGATCGGATACCAATTAAAACAGGTGCGCGAGCGTTTGGCCAAGGGACTCGTCGACAAGGGCATCCTCCGCACCGAGAAGCGCAACTTCTTGCTCTTCGATATGGCGACCCACCCCGTCGCCGACGGAGGTGCCAAGGAGGAGATTCGCCGCCGTGTCCGCAACGTCTTGACCCAGCGCACCGTGGTCCTCCCGGCATCCCAATTCCTGCCCGAGAACCTCGAGTTCCGCTATGTCCGCACCATCGCCATGGTCTGCGCTGCCTACGCCGCCAACGTGCTGGAGAACGCCCTCAGCACTCTCGGCCACGAGGCTCGCGAGCGTGCCTTTGCCCAGACGGACGAGCTCCTCGCCGACTACAGTCAGTGGCCGTTCGGAAAGAAGGCGACCGGTAACGGCATCGGTGCCAACCTGCCCCAGGTTATTCAGGAGGTGCGTCACACACACAATTGCCGCTGTAACACGAGCTAACAATTCGCAGGAGGTCAGCAAGGGCAAGGACAAGGAACTGCAACTAGAGGTTGTTGCCGCTTGCCTCAGCGTCTTCACCCGCCTCGACTCCCTCCTGTAAACTAATTGATCGACTCGAACAACGAGCGCCCTGCTGCCAGGCCGCCCGCCTCAAGGCCCGCAGCAGCTAGCTGAGCGTAAGCTCGGGCATCTCCTTTCCAATCCTATTTGCACCTAGACGACACACTATCGAAGCGCCGCAGCATCCTGCTCCCCCAACCTCCATCTTCGAACCCTCACGAGAAATGATGAAACAAAGCAAGGGGACATGATCTTTTCGCTTTTCTTTCCCCCGAACCCACACACAAAATTTGGTGTTGCATCTAGGCATGGCGGATGGGGTGGGTCTCACGGGGGAACAACCGAAAGGTGGCGCTTTTTTCTTATCCATGCTCAGTTGCGCAACCTCACGATAGGGTTCTCAAGGAAGGGGGCGAGATGGAGAAAACAAGGGAAGATGGGAAAGGCCAAAAAGAGAACACATGTGTAGTTGGTTGGGTTCAACTACGTTTTTTCCCCCACCGTAAGCGATCGTTTTAATGTAACTTTTGAAAAAAATGTAGCGCGCGCAGGAAAGAGTGCGAGAGATGTCTATTGTAGCCTTCGTCTTGGTGGTGTTGTGAGGAACATTGGCGTTTTGCTTTGCTTCCGTTTTGACTGGGAACGAAGAGACGTGGAAGGGAAACGTAATTGTCATGGCTAGAACGATTTGAAGAATGCATTCATGGTCCCTCCTACGCCGCCATCCCCTTTTTTGTGTAGAAATACAAAATATTGTCCCCCCTAAACGCCGTACATCCATGGATGATGCTCGAAGACCCTCTTTCCCTCTCGCCAGGATATCGATTAATTTTTGCCTCCCTCACACCCTTGCCTCACTTGGTTCTCGTCACTCTTTATTTCTTCTTCTTGCCGCCGCCGAAGCTACCCTCGAACCCAGGACGCGCCTTCTTCGCCCCGCCGCCGACCTTCTTGCCGCTCTTGCGGCCCAGCTTGTGCGCGAGCTTGTCGTCCTTGCGCTTCTTAATGTTGTCGTCGCGCTTCTTCTGCTTCTCGCGGATGGCCTTGGCGACGCCGTCGCTGCGCTCCTTCCACGCCTTCTCGCTCTTCTTCTTGGTCTGCTCCTTGCGCTTGACGGCCCTCTTGAGCGCGCCCTCGTCGTCGCGGATCTTCTCGCCCTCGGCGCGCCGCCTGGCGATGAGCCACTGCTCCTTCTCGGCGATGTCGGCCTGCTTCTCCTTGTCCAGCGCCGCGAGGCGCTTCTTCTGGTTCTGGATCTTGATGAGCGCCGTCTTGGGGTCCGAGGGGCCCTTCTTCTTGTGCGACGTCAGCGCGTGCGAGAGATCGTGCGAGAGCTTGGTGCCGTCCTCGAAGGCGACGCGGCCGAAGGCGTAGTTGGCCGGCTCGTCGTCGCGGTCGAGGTCGATGCGGGGCGACATGACGCTCGGCGAGTTGGAGGCGAGGGCCTCCTCGCGCTTGGCCTCCTCGGCGAGCTTGGCCTGGCGGCGGAGCTCCTTTTTGTGCTCCTTGCGCTGGTTCTGTTTCGCGCGGCGGGCCTCGATGAGCTCCGCGCGCGTGCGGATGGGCTTGCCGTCGGCGCCGTCGGCCTTGCGGGCTGCGCGGAGGGCTTCTATCCTCGCGGCGAGGCGGGCACGGAGAGCGGAGGTGTCGGCGGGGAGCTTGATGTGCTTTGGCTTTTCGGAAGGCGGGACCGTTGAGCTGGTGGAGGTCGTGGTGCTTGCGGGGTCGGCGGTGGTATGGGCGGCGTCAAAGGTGGGCGATTGCGGTGTCGAGTCGCCGCTGGTGTCGGCAGCGTTGTCCATGCCGGCGACGTCCAGCGGGCGTACATCCTTGCTCTTCTTGGAGGGCTTCGCGTCATCGTCGGATCCCTCGTCTACGGTCTCGTAGGCCTCCTTTTCGTCGTCTCTGTCGTGGTTGTTTCCGACAGGCGCGGCATCCGTCGACTCGGCCTTCTTCTGTTGCTTCTTAGGCGCCGCCTTCTTTGCAGCCTTCGGAGGCTCCGTGGGCTTGCTCTCGGCCGCCGCCTCCGCTGGTTCTTCGCCGGCGGCTTCCGCCTTGGCAGCCTTCTTCGCCGCCTTCTTGTCCTTCTTGTCCTGGCGCTTCTGCGTCTTAGCCTCCTTCTTCGCGAGCCTCATGAGCTGCGACTGGGACATTTCGGCGGGGTTGGCGTCATCAATCGTGTCGATCGGGTCGGCAGTCTTCTGCTTCTTATTCTCCTTGTTGCGGAGTCCCTGACCGGGGAGCTCCCTCTGGACGCCAGCAATCGGCTCGTCGTCATCCTCCTTGTCCTCCTCCTCCTGCATATCCTGGAGCTTTCTCTTGCTGCGCGCCCGCTCGTCCATGACCTCCTTGGCGTTGCGGTTCAGCTCGCTGTCGGGATCCAGCTTGGCCGTCTTTGCTGCTTTGGCCTCAGCCTTTGTCTGCTTCTTCTTTTTCCATTGTTCCTGTGACGAAGAAACCGTGTAAGCCTTTGTTGCGATAGCTCGAAGCGGTTTGATAAAGCGCGGAGGTTGGGGTCCGTTGCCACATGGGAGGCATCCGCTAGGCAGGGCAAACATACAGAGTTATCTTCCCCGTAATACATCTTTGCTGGAATGAGAGACAAAAGACCATCAAAGGCCTTTGAGTGCTCGCGCAGGCGGTCCTACGTAGAATGTCAATGCCGCTGGCGTCAAAAGTAATCATCACCACCACCAGCTATTTTTTCCATGCAGGTGGCGGGGCACAGACTTTTGACGAACCTGCAATGAAGCGTCCGCCATCTTTTGAACCTTTTGATGCGAAAGCAAAGAGAAAATGCCTACTGCAAGCAAGAATAATCTTCTTTTGCCGGGCCGCAAGGGTTGGAGGGGTGGCTGCCGAAGGGTGAGAGTGTTCGCGGTTGGGCGGTGCAGGACAACTCTACTCGGTGAGGTGAGCTTTTGCTGGCTGGCGGTTGCGGGCGGACTGGCTGCGAATTTTCGGGCGTTCGAAATTTTTTGGACTGTGGAGAAATCGCTTATGCGAAATCTTGGCACTTTTCTGCCGCTAACACACCCCATTTTTCAGCGGCGGTGAGTGCTGTAACCATCCCCGCAATGATATAGCGCCCCGATATGTACATGTCTTTTGCCGTTACTACGTCCGGGGCCCAGAACGACAAGCCTTTTTCTCGGCAGGGACCTTGTTTGCGCTTGAAACACTCGCCTGGGCGACGCTCACATTTGATGACAGCTGGTTGAGAATGTTTTAGCAACTAATACTGCGTGTAGTACACAATGCTTTGTTTGCAGTTCCAGCGCGAAACGCCTCTAGAAATACAATTGACTCCGTAAATATCAGCAACTCTTTATCGGCGTTTCCTCTCAGTGTAGGCCTCTAAGTGGACCCGGTCGTGGTTCCGGTCCGTCCAACAAATCAGTCCGCCAAACGCCGCTCTTCCGGGATCCCATGCCGTCCCAAACCGTCCTCGAACAGTAGTACCATGCCGAACCATGTCAACCCAAATAACGTCAAAGACCAGGACAACGCATATCCACATTCACTGCAGGCTTGTACCCTCGCCGTCCGGAAGCCATGGCTGTTCTAGTTGCATTGCAACGGTTGCCATTAATGATGGCTGCAAATCAGTAATTCTCGTATTGGAGTGTCTAAGCTCCAGCCATTCCAGCCGCAAAGGAAGGCGTCTGGGGCTGAAGCGAGTAGCCGTTGGCGGCCTTGCTGAGTTCGGCTTGACGCTCTCTCTCGGCCTTTTCGCGCTCTCGTTGTTCCTTCTCCGACTTGGTGATACGCGGCTTGCGCGTGAGGGAGCCGCCGCGAGATCCACGCCCGCCTCTGGAACCGGGACCGCCGCCGCGGCCAGTGCCTCCTTCGCCGCGGGTGGTTCCGCCACGGCCGCCGATGCGGCCTCCTCTGCTGCCACGACCGCGCTTGGGCAAGCCATCAGGTCTGAGATGTGTTAGTGAACCGCCTTCAAGTGACATGCTAGAGTGAACATACCTTAGGTTGTCAGCTGGCTTCTCAGGTTCCTGTACCAAGGGTCCAGAGTAGACAAAGAAGCCGTCTCGACTGGCCGCAGCCTGCTGCTCCCACAGAAGCTCAGAGTCGTCGACAAAGTCATCGTCCTTGTCGTATTCGTCCTCCTTGAAATTGCGCTTCTTCTTCTTGGGTTTCTCGGGTTCGGCGCCGCTAGTCATACCGCCCATCTCGACGTTGCTTGCCTCCTTGTCTGAGTCCTCGGACATCTCGTCGCCAGATTCCTGGCCTGACGCCGTCTTCTCCAAGGCAGCCGATGCAGCGGCGATTCTGGCCTTGCGGTCGCGCTTCTCGGCCAAGCGAGGGTGAAGAGCATCCCATCCGTACTTCTCCTCGGCCATGCGCATGACGTTGACGTAAATATTTGTGTCACCAGGCTTGATGGGGATGTCGAGAACAATATCAGGCGCCTTGTATTCCTTTCCGGTAGACTTGCCAAAGTCGAGAATGGACCGGTCGGCGTTGCCTTCGGGCTCGTCGAGGGCGCTCATCTTTGGCGACGAGACGCCAGACTTTTGCGGCTTTTGCTTTGGTGAAGGCTTCTTGCTGGCTACTGATCCGGCGGTTGATACGGCTTCTCTAGGCTTGTCCGCCTTGGAAGGCAAAGGCGGTGGAGCCAGCGACTTTTGCTCAGGAACCGGTGGCTTGGAGATTGTCTGGGGCGTTGACCTGACCGGGTATGACGGTGAGGCTGGTACTGATGCGGAGTCTTGCGGACGCGACTGCGTTGAGGCGCGGAAGCTCTGGTTGGGAGAGGCTACGTTATGTGTAGGCTCGACAAGGCTGGCGATGGACGGAGATGCGCTTGGCCGCGCGACAGTCTGCGCCGGAGGTCGTGGGGACGAGGCGCTGCCGAAGATCTCTCTGATGGGGTCGTAATTACCGCGAATGGGGTCGTAACTTTGTCCGCTAGTACGGGTGGGCAGAGACGCGCTTTGAGGCTTCGATTCGGGCTCGGGATCGGAATTCAGGATGCTTTGCATGGATCGTGGAATGTCCTCTCGTTTAGGGACCTTTTGAGCTGTGTGTTCGGGCTGGGCAGAGCTGGGTCGTGAGTCGAAATTGCTGACGAGATCTGTAATCTTGGCCTGTCGGGACGGGGGCGTCGCGGATGAGGCTGCTGCCGCAAGAGATTTTGAATCCGACCCTGCATCGGCATCCTGGGCAGGCGCGGATTTCCTCTTACGCTGAATCGGGGGCGCGTTGGGATCGCGAGGTTTCCTGGGCCGGCGCACTTTGGGCGGCTCATCTGGGTTCTTGGGCTTAACCGTCGAGCCGGGCTTGCGACCGGGCTTCTTTCTGGGGAGGCCAGCCGCCGTCAAGCGGACCTCAGGCTGGGGTTGCTCGTTACCCGACAGTACGCCGAAGCGTGGCTGCGAAGGGTCGACAATGATTTCATCCATGTCCATGTTGTTGTTGGGTTGACTTCGCAGAGGCGAGCCGGGTTCTGAGATAGAGCTGGAAGGTGGTGACGAAAGATCTGGCGAGGAGATGTCGCGCATATCTTGCTCTCGTCCACCACCAAAATGACCGCGCCGGAGTGGACTCTAGATAGCTAGGTCCTTCTGCAGGGGGGTGCACCGCCAATCAGTTACGAAAAAGGGTGTAGATGCAGCTCCAGAATGTCTCTAATGGCGACAGCTGCAGAAGCTGCAGTACATCGGAGGGGGTGGTGGGATTCGTTGTGCTGCGGGTTCCCTTGGTAGGGCGTCGTGAATGACCTCACTTTTTTTGTCAGGTACAAGGGGGCGCGTGTTGCAGTGCGTTTGGCGTTTGGCAGTGTCGGATTGGCCGATTTGGGGGTGTGGTGTCGGGGTATGTGGAATTATGTAAGATGGACTAGGTTGGCTAAAGCAGGAGAGGCTGCAGCAACAGATGAGCAGTTGGTCACCTGTGGTGTGGCCGTGCGGAGTCGCTGGGGTGGGAACTCGTGAATAACCTCAAGAGCTGTCCGAGACGTGTTTTTTGACGACAGTCGACGCCGTTGAGGTCGAAAAATCGATGAAATCGGGGTCGATGTGGGGAAATGGAGGCCGTCAAAAGATACAGCTTATTGAGCTGCAGCGACTGATGGTCTTTTTGCGATGTCGACGATGGGCGCAGATGTCGAAATTGATGAGTTTGGTGTTGCTGCAGTCAAAATTGCAGTGTCGTGGGTAGTTGTGAGAAGGGGAAAGGAGGAAGGAAATGGGTGCGGCGAAGAGAAGATGGGGATGGCTACGTTTTTGGGGGGAACAAGATTTATTTTTTGGGCCGACATTTGGCTGCTGCGCAAGACGAGAAAAACGGGGCACCGAGCAGACGTGGATGGCCTCAGCAGGCGTGAATGGCAAGGGAAATTTTATTATTAAACCCGAATTAGAGATCCGGACTAGCTGGGGGGCACATCGATGGGATCAGATGGCCTCAGTACCACGAGGAACGTGGACGAGGACGAGGACCAGGACGGGGGCGGGCCACGGGGCTAGGTGATGGACCAAGAAGCGCGAGAAGGCAAAAGAAAGAAAGGAACGACTAGGCCTGGGGGAACGGGATGGATGGGGGAATGCGAATAGGAGCGGGAGAGCGGCAGACGGACGAGACGGAGAAGCAAGACCAGGAGAACTGGGAATGGGAGCAAGCAACAACATGCAAAGGTGGACGGCCGGAGGGAAAGCACCAGCCAAAGGGAGGCAAGTAAGGTAATGGGAAGTGGAGGCGGGAAGGGGGGAAAACACCAAGAAGACGAAGCGATGGCACCTCGTGAACGGGCCGCCCAGAGAGGGAAGAAGACGCAGCAGTACAAGTGATTGTGTAGGCACGGCTTGGTACCGTGAGGTAAACTTCCAACGTGGGCCAGACCCGGAAAGACAAGATGGACGGGTGCGAGGAGGGAAAGGCGCAAAAGGTGAGGTAAGAGAGGTACACCGTACCAAAGCCTCACTTTGCGATGAGCAAGGTCGGTGGGAAAGGGAATGGCATGGGGGGGCGGAATGGGAATGGAAACACGCCCCCAGGGCAGTTGGCAGTGAGAAGAACACCATGTTTCGCCAGTCGTCAGGTGTCAAGATGAACGGCGGACGACGACAACGACGACGACGACGGAGGAGACCAGTCATGCAGGGCAGGCTGCGAGGAACCGACCGACCGACCGACGATGAGCTTGCCGCGGCAGGCAGGAAGAACCTAACAGTCAACAACACTGTGGGAACTTGTGAAGGTGAGGTGTGTATTGCGCGCGCGCGTGCTGCAGCAGGTGCGGTCGTTGTGCCGGATGGATGCGGCGATATCAATTGGGACGGAGCGACAGACAGTAAGCAAGCTTGACAGTGAGAAGAGAAAGGCGGCGCTACGCAAGAGCAAGTGCAAGTACATGCGAGCGAGGGTGGTGCGTGCGGGAGGTAAGGCAGGGTGGTGTGTAGTAAATTTGGGTAAAGGGCCAAGAGGGTGCACCTTTCAATGAGCAGCAGCTGGAGGTACATTGGCAGGTACCCGGGACCTCGCTCGTCAAGCGGAAAGCCAGTTGCCCTGCAGCCGCGCTGTCCTGGGGGGTTGGGTTGTGTGGTGGTTGAGGAGAAGAGGAGCCGAGCCGTGGGGAAAGGAACCTGGACGGGACGTGGAAGGAAAAGAAGGGGTCGTGGAATTTCCCATTGGCAAGACACAGGAAAGGGGAACCGCGTGCAGGGCAGTCGCCGGTCGAATGGGATGGCCAGCCACAGGAGAAAAAGAGAAACATGGGTCCGGGCGCAGGTACAAGGTCGATGTACCT